GGGGTGTATTGTAGGGTGACCAGACAGCAAATGTGAAAAATCGGGACAGGAGGTGTGTGTGTGGGGTAATAGGAGCCTATAAGAAAAAGACCCAAAAATCAGGACTGTCCCGATAAAATTGGGACATCTGGACACCCTAGTGTACTGGCACAGGCAGAGGTGTATTGCGAGGCAGATGGGACTGAAGCAAAGTACAGTGGGATTTATCAATCTTTGGCTGGTGGAACAATCTCTAGGGAACAGCTGCTGTAAATTAGAGCAGCCCGTGGCTAATCCAGTTTGCACTTAGAGTCGGATTGGGTCTCAGCTGCCCCCCGGATCAAGGAAGGCGCAAGCAATATTGAGATTTTTTTTAAAAAGTGTAACTTTTTATTAGATGTATGTTGCATGGCGTAACATTGAGAGATGAATCGTAACAGTGACTAGTGCAGAACAGGAATGAAGACAACACAATCTGGTTTTGGTTCTTTGAAGGAAACTAAGGATTGGGCTGTCTAGGACCGCGAGACCTTGCAATAAGTACGTCTCCTAGCTCATGTTGTCAGGTGTAAATATAATCACATTGACAGTAAGTCTTGTGATGTGTCTTCATGAGAGGCCAGCTATTTTTAAAGGTATGACCCTGCTTTTTAGTAATTTGGGCACTAAACATTGCAGTCTTGCTGGAAAGGCAGAGGCTAAACTGTGGCATAGAGCCCTGCTTTGGGGTCAATGCAAAACAGTCCTGCCTTGCTAGGAACTCCAGGAGCCATTGTGCCTCTGAGTGTCTGGGGAGCACAGCCACTGTGTCATCCCTAAAGAGAGAGCAGCATGTGCCCTGCATAGTCAGTGAACTCTGAAAGTCATTGCAAAGGGGGTGTGTGTGCTGCATGGCCCTAACTTCTCCATGTCCCTTTTTGGGGTGGCTGCCATTGCTGGTCAGGATCAACCTTTGAAAAGAGAGAGAGAGAGAGAGAGACAGAGAGACTGCACTTGTGACTGACCCTGCACTGGGGGAGGAGGCGCCTTGTGTATGAATAGTGGGGTTGGCTCCCAGAGTTAGAATTACCTGCTGACATTGAGATACAGCAACAGAGGACCATAAGCAAAGTCTTCTCAGCCTTTCAGCTCTTGAAAGAGCTTTCTCAAGCTCATTTCTTACTGGAGTTATTGCCAGGCAAGCACAGGAATTCCCCTGAAGCTGGGTTTGCTGCTGCAGAGGCAGGCTCACCCTAACTTTAAATGATTCAGATATAAACATTTTACTGACAAGGAAGAGTAGAGGCAGCTCATACAATTCTGCTGGGATAAGGAGCATACATAGTAATTCAGGAGAAAATTCATCCCTGTGCAGAAGGCTCATGCAAGGTCTGGAAACACTTTGGGTCCATCTACACAGCAACCAGACTCCTGCGGCTGGCCTGTGCCAGCTGACTTGGGCTTGCTGGGTTTGGGCTGGAGGACTGTTTCATTACTGTGTAGACGTCTGGGCTCTAGGACCCTGAAACGTGGGAGGTTCCCAATGTCTATGGGCTAGCCACGGATTTTTCTTTGCTGTGTAGACATACTTTTTGAGGCCTAGGGTAGGCCCTCTGCACAGGACAAAAATTCAGCCCTAAGACTTGATCCTACAAGGTGCTGGGTGTCCTCATCATCATTGGGTGAAATTCACCTCTGTGTAGAGGCCCAGCATGCAGCTATTCAGCACTTGAATCCCACACAGGGCTTACGTGCAATGTTAGACTTATGCTGGGCCTCTCCACAGGGATCAATTTCTTCCACTGATGTCAGTAAATGATGAGGGGCTCAGCATGTTGCAGATTTGCATCCTTCAATATCTCCACCGCTGAGAAAGCTAAGAAAGAAACACTCTGCTGACCAATTTAGCCTATTTCAGGCAGGTTATCTTCTGACATCCCCCACGCTGCCTCCCCCCCCCCCACCCATTACCTTCCTCGCTCATACAAATGGATGCAGCAAAACTCGAGGCAGTATTTGCATTTGAGTGCTTTATTATATTGGAATTGCAGTGATATTAACATTTGTACAAATGCACAAAATCTTGTCTCTTCTAGCTAGAAAGAGATGTAAAAATCTGAACTAGTTGAACAGTTTCAATGAACGCATTGTCCATGTGTAACAATAAATGTGTTCAGGACGCAACAAAAAGCGTAACATAAAATTAAACATATTAAATGCCGCAGCATGTATTTACACTTATGTACCAAAAAAAAAAAAATTCTCTCCTTCCAGTGAGGAAGGTGGTTACTTTACAGAATAAAACAAACAGACAAACACAAAACCTTTAGTACAATACAAACAACCTCAAGCCCAAAACTTAAAGTGACAGCACCTTTCTTTTTTAATATATATCTATAGACTTCCATAGTTTAGGCTTACTCCAAGCAGTGCTAAAAGTTTCTTTAAAAATCAATGTTCTTGTATAGTAACTATATTTAAAAGAAGCAACTGATCAGTGTTTAAATTGAGCAATATATGGAGGGGAAGCCCATGAATATGGATTGGGAAGTACCTGGGTCCCAATCCTGAAGTCCTTACTCAGGCAATCAACATCATTGAGTTTTGCCCGAGGAAGGGCTGCAGAAATGGTTTGTCTTTCAGAAGTATCTTTCTGAGCCGTGGTAAAAGTTGTCACTGCCAGGGATCTTTTAGCAGGCTCCAGGGAGAGAGGGATGGAAAATCCATTTCCCCTCAAAATTTCCCTTTACTATCAACACTGGTTTTCCCCTTCTCTTGTTATTTTTCTTGCAATCACTGGAAAGCTACAATTTTCAATGTGTGAAGCAGACTCAGAGGATAATATTTTGTTTAGAGATGTGACAAAAGGCCAACGCTACATTATAAAATAATACAAAGGTTTTGAAATGGTTCCGCATCATAAAACTTAACATAAGCAATGTTTAGCTTGCATTAAGACTGGGCCTACAGATCCTGTATACCAGATATTACACATTGGTCTAACTATAACTGATCATAATTATTGATTCCTAGCCAAGGAAAACCTTGGAAAGGGATCAGACTTCCCATGTAGAGAATTAATCTTTTAGCCCACACTGACATTTCGGCCTTACATTGTCTTTAAAGTTTGCTGAAAAGTAGTTTTGAAAGGTATGGAAGACTCACAGAAGAGAAAACAAGCCCTGGGAAGCAATTTAGCTCCAAGCATAAAGCCAGTGATAAAAACCAGATAACCACAAGCAGTAGGAAGGGGTCACACGTGAACACAAACTTTATCATCTTTGGTGACTACTTCAGATGAATGAGCTTTTTTCCACAGGAGATTTTTATTCCTTTTGTTTGTTCTTAGGTTTTAGTCTTTTTTTATTTTAAAGGTGCTGTCCCCTATTAAGTTACGAGGCAACATTATATTTTATGGACTTAAAATTCAAGCACATTGTATGGCCATTGTTGTCGCTGCAGATCAATAGCTACCATGGGCTGGACAACAGTCAAAGGGCAGTATAATGCACAAAAGAGCCAGTCTCCTGCCATACAGTATACAGGACACTTTGGTTCTCAGGGTGAGATAAACTATAAGTAAATATACCTTTGATGCTGCCTCACGTACTTTGCATAATAAAACATTTATATACCATCATGAAGAAGGTGTAAAGTCTAAGTCATGTTGCAGATTGGCTGCACTCAGCTTCTCTTAGCCGTCCTCCATTTGGGCGGGTCTGACAGACAAACGGTAGATATGCCAACAGGGAAAGCATATAAATGTATCTGGTGCAAATGTTTAAATGATTCAATAAGGGAGAGCGAGAAAGAGAGAGCGAGAGCTAAAGTGCAATTGTAAAATAATATAAATAACTGAAATGTAGAACTGAGATATTAATTAGTCGTAACTGGTTTTGTTTTATAGGCACTGTTTAGTTTTTATTTATACAAATTAAAATAGTTTTTCTTCCCCCTCCAATAATTTTATCTGATATATAATGGAGCTTCAATGGTCTAAACTAAGCTACGCAACACTGCTTAGTAAAAGACAGAAGGGGCAATGGTAAGGCAGTATAGTGCAACTCACTATGTAATATTAGAAAAGAAGCAAGAATGGCATTAGATCTCCATTGGTGATATATATAATCATCCTAGTAAAGACAGGCTTTCCAGTTTTATGTATTATTTCCCTTTAGCTTACCTGTGCTTTCTAAAATGAGAGAACAGCATTTTCAAAAAAAGAGGAAACAAGTGTAAGTTCATAACTTTTGTTGTTACAAAAAGCAGATGCTGCTTTAAAGAAAACAATTAATCCTAGGAATTTCTGTACAATAGACCTCAGCAAACCTTTCCATCTTAGATGGACGACTTCCGCTCGAGACCCTAAAAGATTACGATACACATACACCTAGAGTAGTTTATTGCAAAACTAATATTGTAACTTTAAAAAAAACCAGATTCCATACAAGAATACTGTTCAAATGGAATGTGTTAAAATAACATTTATTAATAAATACTTTATAAAATTCTATGTGAATACTACATTAATAGATTCCTGTTTAAATTTTGCTTTGGTCCTCATGAATTTTCATAAATTCACTATATACTTTTTTTTTAAAAAATGTGTTGTTAGCTGCTAAAAAGCACACTCTATGCTAACTAAAAGGCTGTTTTAAACACTTAATATTGTTACTTAAAAAAATACAAATCCCCCAAAAGACAGGTTTTTGACAACAGTTACAGCTGGTTTTGTTAGTTAACAGGACAAGATCAGTTAACATGCTAAAATCCATATATATTGAGGCAAGTAAGCACCTGAAATTGAACCATTGACTTTCCACTATTCAGAACATGGGCAGCATACATTTAGTTATACTGCATGAATTAACTCCAAACAGCAAGAAATTCTCTACATCCTCCTCATCATCATTGTCCTAGAAACACAACATGATAGCACACAAACTACTTGTCTCCCACAGGCAGTGTTATGAATATGGCTTGCATAAATTGACTCAGGGGGACGAAATGTTTGAATCACAACACAGCACTTTGGGGAAAGTATTGCATTCATCCATGGCTGGGCTTTCCAACATACTCTCTTTCAATGTCACACAGTGAGTGATGCTGTACATAGAAATGTTTAACATGTGGATGCTTCATTTTGAATGAGAAACGTGGCCAGGATAATCCATCTGTACTGTTAACTTCCATGAAATAAGGCTGGGGAGTCATTCTGATAGCTCACTGGCAGTGACTTTGATGACAGCTGCAATAGGTTGAAGAAAGGCAGGTGTAACACATAGTCTCCAGTAGTAGCCCAGGGAAAACTAGAATTTATCCTTAAATGAAACAGCACAGAAAATGGATTTAGAATACCGGAACTTAAAAACGAACAGGAGATGTTGTCTGGAGAAGACATAGGCCCTGTTCCTGCAGCCCTTACACATCAGAGTCTCCAGTGAGATGACTTGTAAGGACTACTTGCCTAAATAAAGGCCGCAGGGTCAGTCCTCCAAAAAGCAAGTATATTTTAAGCATGATGGAAGCTCATTTGTTGAGCAATGAAAGGTAAGCGGCATGGTTGGTCCTTTTACTGATATACCTAATATCAGTATGCTGCATGTTGTTTTGGCCTGTGAATCTTGCACTTAGAGTTACAAGAAGCAATAGCAAATAGCTTTCATCCTTTACTTATTTCCACATCACTAATAACAATTATACCTATAGGCCAATAGTATAGCGAGGAGACAGTTAATTATAATTACATATTTAGGCAAGTGCATGGTTGGCTTGCCTAGTTAGCATTAAAAAAAGACATAATTGAGCTATATATAATACACATCAGTCAAACTGTCAAGTTGCTGGATTTAACAAAACTCAGGCAAGATTTTTTTTTTTTTACTGTAGAGGCTTTCAGTTTAACAGCTAAATATTTCAGCGGAGTCTGAACAAAAGTAAAACCAAATCTTAATTCTAGTGCAGTGTAGCTCATTTGTGTTTCTAATATTATCAGCCGTTCTTTTATAATGTATTTAAGTGCTATCCATGCAAAAAAAAAAAAAGTTAAAATTAAATTAACACTATGATGGCATTTTTGGGGACAGGGATTGATGGTGAGGCATGAAATTTGGACCGATAACACCTCCTGTTTTTTATAATGGAGCTTCAACTGGAACTTTATGTTTAAAGCTGTATATTTGAACAAAAGTTTCCTTAGTAGCTATGAGGAAGCAAAACCATTCTGCTATTACAATTGGACTTTAAAAATGAATTACAGATTCAATATTTAAAACATTTTAAAAGTATATGTTTGCTAAAATATAATAGAAAATCCTTTATATTTGTTTTTTTTCTTAATTGTTTTGGTTCTTAGACTATATAATCAAGTCATGATTTATACTGTACACTCAAAATTCTTCTTCCAAAAATATTTGCATAAATGGAAAGAGAGTTGTTTAAGAATACTGATAAAAAGTTAACTGAGTTACCAAGATAAAAACGAATTCAGAAATGATGATTCATGATCCTTAGAGATTGCTTTCCCTTCCAAAATGGGCTCTAATCACTACAGTGCTTCGTGGGGGGCGGAGGGGAAAGGCCTTCATTTGTTTGGTTGTTGTTTCTTTAAATAAAAACCACCCTTTAAAAAACTATTATTCCTCTAAAAACAATGAAACGACCTTTGAGGAAAACAACTCAGCTTGAGAATGAAGAGTGTTTATCAGTAGAGTATTTGCCAGGAGTAATGTTAATTAGCATTTGTTTTTTAAAAAATGCAGTCACGAACATTTATCACAACAGAGTAAGAGCCTGGTCCTGCTCCCATTGAAGTCAATGGGATTTTTGCCACTGATTTCAGTGGGAGCAGAATCAGGTCCAAACATACTGAAAAATAATATAACTAACTGGCTGTTATCTACTGTGCTCTTAATGTTTGATTTCCCATATGTGACTGGTACTATCTCAGGGTGAAAGTCACCTCTGTGCAGAGGGCCAATACAAGGCCTAAGCATTCAAAATTGGGCTTAATTAGGATGTAAGAAGTGCTGACCTTCTGCATAGGGTAAATTTCATCCACAGCATATAGCAGACTTTACAGCATTTTTGTAGCATACAGCAGCTAAAAAGTGCTTTAATGTCATACTGGGACTGATCCTCAGCTAGTTAAATTAGCATAATAGCATCATTTACATGAATGGAGCTACACTGATCTATGCCAGCTAAGGATCCCATCCCACATATGTTTAAAAGATCAGCTGTGAAGAACTGGTCTTTTCCTGGTAGTTAACAATAACCTATTCCTCACTGGTCAAACTGATTTAATGGGCTATAAATGAAATATTAATCTTAGGCTATTAGCAGCTGATGATGAAACAATGTCACTGGTTTAGTGAATAGAACCTTTTTGAATTATTATATACTACATGGCTTTTCTACATTAACAATTGGCAGTGTAAAAAAACAGTTGTAATAAACAGGTGTGATTTGCTATCCTTGTACTCTGCCATGGACATTTACAACAGAAGCGTGCAAGGCTCCTTCCCCCTAGCACCAGCACAGCTGGCTTTCAATCGTGCATCACCTGTGGCTAAACTACTTTCACTGTTTATTAAAACACTAAATCAGGAGCATTAAACTCCTGCATATTTCTTTTTTAAAAAGCAAAAGTTCAGTGCAGCCCAGCTGTGGGTGAAGGGCTATTGAAAGCAGTGACTATGCCAACAGTTTTTTTTCCACAGGGAAGGGGGAGGGGAATATAGGTTGGGTATGAAGTCTTTTCTTCTTCATTAGTATTCTCAGAAGAAAAAAGGAGAAGGGAGACTTGGAATGCGAAGACAGGGGGGAGCTTGAAGGAGAAAGAGCCACAGAGTTTAGAGAGGGAAGATGCAAGGACAATTGAAGGACAAAAGAGAGAGCTTAAGTAGAAGAGGGACAACAGGGAAATGAAAGAGGAAAGCAAGACAAGAGGGCATATTACCTGGGTTTGAATTTGTTCTGATATCCATGTATTATAAAACCATTCTTTTCTCTGAAAGAGGTTCTGAATACATAGTGGGGTTCTAATGATATTGCAAAGCTAACTCACGTTCTCATGTGCTATCACCAGACTCCCTGAATATCTTTATAGCCTAATTATTCCTAGTTACCTATGTATGACTTTGGCTAACAAGCTGCCGTTTAACAAAACTCCATGATTCTGAGGCCTTGGGCTAGATTGGTAAGAAGGAAACACAACTATGTACAGAAACATTTCCATTTATAAACAAGTAACTGGTACCAAAAAATTGGAGAAAGCACCAAAGCATTTCCCAAGCTGATAGCATATTAATTGCATAACTCCCTTTTTGTAACTAAGTATAAAAGGCATATTTTAATAACTATAAAAATGAAAGCCAGAGTCTTCCAAGGACTGAGGAGTCTTCCAGGGCTGAGTTAGTGTTGAAAATGTCCTTAACACAAAGGACATTTGATTATGCTACCACTCTCCCATAGCAGTTTCTGACCAATCCGTTTTAAAGAATTGGGTTCATGTCTGTTCTATGACTGGCAAGCTGACTGAGGGTGGAGCTTCCTACGACATCGCTGACGGAAGAGGAAGTTGTAATGGTATTATGCTGGATGACTTGCTGTTGTGAGCAAGCTGGGACGGGGCTTGCAGGAGGACTATTCTCAGGACCTGGGGAAAAAAGAACACACACTAAAATGATGTGTACATGTCGAATGCCTGTGATGTATTACAGTACAGTTAAATAGAAGATGGACCACCAAGGATGCAGTCCTGCCAACTCCAATCATTCAAAATCATGAGATTTTAACAATAGGAGATATGGAGGGGTTTTTTTGTTTTGTTTGCCTTTGAGGTTTTTAGAGCCTTTAAGGTTCACATTTTCAAGCTTTTCTCCATGAGGGCTAGAAACTTACTCCCTTTTAAAAACGAGAGTCATGTAATAACCTGATTCTAGGAGCTAGGACTTTTTCTAACCACAAGACTTGTGATTAGAATTACAAGAGTTGGTAACTGGGTGCTTAAATACTTTATTTATTGCAGCAGAGGGGATTGAAATATGCATTACAATGCAATGCAGCACAGAAACGTTAATATAAGCAAGACTCAGTAGTAAAGATAATGAAATCCCATTGTGCTTAAGATTAATACTAATACTAGGCCTTATTCAGTTTGGTGCGGCGGGGATGGAATCTGGCCCTATTTCCCATATTGATAATTCTCCTAATGTAAAGAAACTCCCAAAGGGCATAGAGCTGGCATAACTGGCGCCTATGCAACCCTTTCTGGAGACACCAGTGCGGGGGTGAGAGGGAGGGGGTGAGAGTGTGTGTGTGCGCGCATGTTGGGGATATGACTGGAGCACACTGAACTCTGGCTGTTTGTTGCTTTAGGGGAATATTGCCATCTTGCAAATATTAGAACAGCTCTCAGGCTGCTCTAACCTATTCTGGAGCCAGGCAGAGAAGCAGGGAGTTGTAGCAATCTCCCTCTGCCATGCTGAGCAGAAACTCAGCACAGCAGAACACCTGTTCCTACACATACAGTATGTCCACTTGGATTGTTTCTCTCTCTAATTAGCTACAGTATTTTCATTAACTTTTTCTTTTTTAATGACAGATGAATATTAAAGAAGAGATTGAAGAAGAGATTGCGTACCTCAGACATACCAAGTTCAGAGTATGGTACCATTTTCGTTGGAGGAAACTGTTTGTAATTTTTTCCTGCTTAGTTTTTCTTTCTATGATTAGACTCTTTTGGGTTCCACCATTACTTCTGCTCTGAGGTATTTTACTGGACCCACCAGCATTGTTGCCTGTCGTACACTTGTCAGAATGGAGCATTGAGTTCACTGGGACTCCTCTTCAGGGGAACAAGTGTCTATCTGTGTGCATCTCATTGCAGGCGCAGTGCCATTGCTTCAAGCACTGTGGCGTAAAGACTAGTTTTATTTTATGTTTGAACCACACCATGCCATTTTTGGTTGGGGCTTGTTTGTAACACATAACTTTATTTTACAAATTATTAATCATTAAAACATACAGTCCCAATCCAGCAGAAATCAGTCTCCTGGCAAATGCAGTAGTTTGCCTTCAAGCACTCAATTGCAGGATTAGGGTTCATAACAGTTGTAAGAGTGCTCCTTTAAATGTATCTGCTCACCCCCCAGATATTTCATTTTAAACCTTAATTCTATGATGTTCAGAAAGAATGGTTTAAATGAAAGGACGGAATGGGTGGAGGAAGGGACTGGTACCTTTGATTGCTGTTCTTATGAATTATTGTAGACCATGGAAATACACCAGTTACTTACTTATATATCCTTGCGACTCTTTCTGCATGGCTGTTATTGGACAGTCTTTATGTGTTAACAATAGCTGTTTCAGCTGTGCTACCTCATTTTTCAACATGGAAACCTCATTCTAGGGAAAAAGAAAAAGAGACTTTTACTTAAGACAGTGGCAAAAAGTTAACAAACAAGTGAGACTTCTCCTATCACTGTAACTAAGAAAACTGAGCTGCATAGGATTGATCTTTGCACCGAATTTGGCCCACTGTATGAGAATTCTTTTACACAGTAGCTATTGGGACAAATTCCTTCTGTTACATCAGTGCCAATCTGGAGTATCTCCATCAACTTGAGCTATTGTAACCTAGTGTACTAGTCTTGCGTCTGGTTGCATTTACTGTTTGTGTCACAATATTAGTGTTATTTAAGCACCATTATTGTCAATTTACCGTATGTTGTATACACAATGCTGTAGATCTGAAGTAAGTACATTATGTGTGTATAATTTTGCTTGGTATAATGGAAAATAACACAAATGTTAATTAAAAAAACCTTAACAAAGACATTTTTAGTTAAAAAATATCCTTGCTCCAGGTTTTTCTTTGATCTAAAATGTGTCATTTTGCCTTTAAAAAAAATAAGGTAATCTTATCTTGCTTGCAAATCTGGACTCTTCATTATTATGGGTAAGGCTTATAGAATCATATACAGAATCAGAGAGGGAAAAGATCCATTAGATAGTATGGGTGGTGATTTGTATAAATTATTACTCGTCCCTGTAATTTCACTGTACACCATAGCTCCCTCATCCATGGTATGTTAGACTCACTTATCCTGAGCCCCTCAACAACCACAGACATACAAATACAGTAATATATAGTAAACACATATTTCAGTGATTTTCCAACAACTGCATTTTAATTGGTAAATTTATATAATGTAATTTGTCATACTATATGGTCAAAATGCCTTTTGGTACAAACAGGATTAGTTTGCCACAAAACAACTATTTAAAATTTACCAAGTAGTGAAACCTTGTTTTCTTAATTAACTGAGTACAGGGATTGGTTCATTCTTAAAATTAAAGGAATTTGGGTTTGTCTGAGAATTGCTCCCACCTGATCTGTTCTAATCCCAATTTTGACTGAGGTTGTGTCTGTAAATTTAACAACTCCTTGGACAGTCTGATTTCACATAAAAAAAACCCCACATTTGTGTTTTAATTATTGTCCAATTTATCTCCAGAAACTTCCATTTACATCGATCCCCACCAGCTGGTGATTATAGAGCAGGGGTGGGCAAACTTTTTGGGCCGAGGGCCACAACTGGGTGGGGAAATTGTATGCAGGGCCGGGGCAGGGGGTTGGGGTGCAGGAGGGAGTGTGGGGTATGGGAGAGGGTGCGGTGTGCAAGAAGGGGCTCAGGACAAGGGATTGGGGCAGAGGAGGGGTGAGGGGTTTATGAGGGGGTTCAGGGCAGGGGGTTGGGGTACAGGAGGGGTATGGAGTGCAGGTGTGCGGACTGCAGGAGGGGGCTCAGGGCAGGGGGTTGAGGTGCAGGGTGTGTGTGGGGTGTGGCAGGGGGCTCAGGGCAGGAGATTGAGGTGCACAGGAGTGCAGGGTGCAGCAGGGGGCTCAGGGCAGGGAGTTGGGGTGCAGGAGGGGTGTGAGGTGCAGGCAGAGAGCTTAGGGCAGGGAGTTGGGGGGCGGGGTGAAGGAGGAGTTCGGGCTCCAGCCCGGCACCACTTACTTAAAGCAGCTCTGGGGTGGCAGCGGCCCGCACCGGGGCCAGGGCAGGCTTTGTGCATGCCTGCCCTGTCCCCAGCCCCTCGCCGCTCCAGGAAGCACTGCAGCCCCTGGGGGAGGGGGGAACGGAGGGCTCCGTTCCCAGCCAATGGGAGATGCGGGGGTGGGGGCGGTGCCTGGAGGCAAGGGCAACGCACGGAGCCCTCTGCCCCCCCGCCTGGGGGCCGCAGGGACTTGGTGCTGGCCGCTTCTGAGAGTGGCGCGGGGCCCGAAGCGCCACAGGGGGCAACCCTGCGGGCCGGATCCAAAGCCCTGAGGGGCCGGATTCGGCCCATAGGCCGTATTTGCCCACCCCTGTTATAGAGAATGATTGAAAAGCCATTGGTAGATCCAAGGAGATTTCTATGGATTTCTCTCTTTCACACATGGATGAAAAACACCACATAAGTAGTAGAAATAGGGTGTATAGTTAGGAAGGAAAGGGGGTTTCCTTTCTTTACACCTATCCCAAAAGGTCTAGGCATTTAATTTTTTAAAATATACAAAAACTAAGAACACCCCCCCCCCCCCAATTCTTCTTTACTTTTCAAAACCAAACACTGCTGGCAACACAAGATTCTGATCTTCGGCAACATTGCGGCTCCTTTCTGCTGCTCTGCTGGTACAAAATGTTCCTAATGCTGGGGTAGCCAGCTATGGGACGCTCACCCTAGTATAGGGGATCTTCCAGTGGTACATATCCAATATAACAGCCTTTCAAAGTTTCAAATCTAAGAACCTGAAAACAATTCTAAAACATTTCACTGCATTCAGAACTAAGAAAACATTTTTGACCATTTGGGGATTATGGTGACAGATGCAATGATGTCTATACATAAATGCAAAGTGTATGGGGAATAAACAGGAAGAACTGGAAGTATCAGTACATAAACTGAATTATGATTTAATAGGTGTGTGGCACTCTAACTCAAAGCAGCACCCCAGAATACCCATATTCACCCCAGTCATATAATTATGATATATTTCATACATGCCATGTAAGATATCATATGAAAGGTCATGATCTGCTGAAACCCATTGCTTGTCAAAATATGTATATCATTAGTGTGTGTGAAGTTATGAGATTTTGCAGTATGATACAGAAATATGTTGTGAGTTTTAGAGTCTCCACTGCTAGTTCTCCAGTGACAACAAAGGAGGTAACTCACTCCCAGGAGGTGTTAAATGACCATTAATCGGCAGGAGAGTTGTAATCAAGGGATTTACAATGCTGTAAGAGGGCTGTGCAAGCATCACGCAATGGGGGATTATTTATCTCCGTGACTCAGGAAAGTCCACCAGGACATGTTGGGGCTAGTGTTTTCCAGGCACATGGACTGAGGATATAAAATAGGTGACAATGGCATCATGCTTTGCCTTTCTCCTCACCCATCTGCACTGGAAGCAACAAGAATGCTGGGAAGACAAAAACTTGAACTGAGGAGACTGGTCCCAGGCTTAAAGGGGCAGCCTGTGTATTAAGAACTATAACCTACTTGCAACATCCAGTGGGGTGAGAAAAACTGCTTGATCGAAATACTGCCTAGTCTAATAAGGTTTAAGATTTAGACTGTGCACTTTCCTTTGCAAACTAACCCGATGCAAAGGAAACATGGAAAGAAAGGCTAAGGCACAAAATGAGATAAACTAGCTATAGACTTAAAGGGTAACAAGAAAACATTCTACAAATACGTTAGAAGCAAGAGGAAGACCAAGGAGAGGGTAGGCCCGTTACTCAATGAGGGGGGGAAACAATAACTGGAAATGGCAGAAGTTCTAAATGACTTTTTTGTTTCAGTTTTCACCAAAAAGGTTAGTAGTGATTTGATGTCTAACTTAATGAATGCCAGTGAAAATGAGGAAGGATCAGAGGCTGAAATAAGGAAAGAACAAGTTCAAATTTACTTAGACAAGTTAGATGTTTTCAAGTCACCAGGGCCTGATGAAATACACATTAAAATACACAAGGATCTGACTGAGGAGATATCTGAGACATTAGACAGTATATTTAAAACATCAAGGAAGATTGGCATGATATTTGCCCTTTCCTATCTATAAAAAAGGGGAATAACGATAACTTGGGGAATTACAGACCAGTAACCTTAACTTCAATACATAAGATCATAAGAGCGGCCATATTGGGTCAGACCAAAGATCCGTCTAGCCCAGTATCCTGTCTTCTGACAGTGGCCAATGCCAGGTGCCCCAGAGGGAATGAACAGAACAGGTAATCATCAACTGATCCATCCCCTGTTGCCCATTCCCAGCTTCCGGCAAACAGAGGCTAGGGACACCTATCTCACAGAAATGGAAGGGACCCCGAAAGGTCATTGAGTCCAGCCTCCTGCCTTCACTAGCAGGACCAAGTACTGATTTTGCCCCAGATCCCTAAGTGGCCCCCTCAAGGACTGAACTCACAACCCTGGGTTTAGCAGGCCAATGCTCAAACCACTGGTTGGACATTAGGAAAAACTTCCTGTCAGGGTGGTTAAGCACTGAAATAAATTGCCCAGGGAGGTTGTGGAACCTCCATCACTGGAGATTTTTAAGAGCAGGTTAGACAAACACCTGTCAGGGATGGTCTAGATAATACTTATTCCTGCCATGAGTGCAGGAGACTGGACCAGAAGACCTCCCCAGGTCCCTTCCAGTCCTACGAATCTATGATTCTCGTAATTATTTTCCAACTTTCCCTTCACTGAAAGGAACTTGGCTTGTAGATATACTGACGCCAACCAGCACGTGATGTGAGCTAGCTGTTCATCATCACCCCCAGAACCTCTTTCTTCAGTACTTTAATCCCTTTAGAAAACCCTGTGCCACCTGTGGAGGCCAAAACATGGTCCACAGACCAAATATGGCTCTCTGAGTTCCACAATACAATACATGGCTGCTCTCATCTAGATTCTAGAATGTGCCATTGCTGCTAAGGATGGGATGAGTCCCAGTGTGAAGAGTTACAACTTTTTCAGAGCAGAGTCTACTCTGCTTAAGATAAGCCATGCCTCCATATTTAAAATGAGGGCAGCAGTAAGCAATTATGTAAATGAGCATGGACTTTTGACTCCTGGCAACCTGCAAGAGCAGCCCTTAACCAGAGAGAATCAAGGTGCCCTTTGGTGCAGACGCTGCCGCCGCCTGGACTTTGACCACTTATCGCTTTCAGACTATATTTACATTCTGTTCCCTTCTTTTTCTTACCACCAGGCCATTCTATTTATAATCATGTCCCGCTGTCTTTGAATTAGGATTAGCTGCATACCCTTTTCTGAAGAAGCCTTTTATAGCTGAGTTATGGTCACTTAAAAAAAAATAAAACGAGTGACAAGAAAAATAAATAAATATATGACTCAGTCCAGTAAAGCCTCTGAATCCCAAGCTTTTTCTGGCTGGTTTTGCTGAAATTAAACTGTGTTTTTCATTTACAAGTGTATATCTTGATCGGTCAACTTTAATTATGTCTGCGTTCAAAGTATTAATCTAATGTGCAGCGGTAGCACATATGACAACCGGGGCTGGTGGTGTACCCAATGCCCTTGAATGTAAACAGTGCCTCTATGTCTTGGAAATATAGACAGTAGCTCACACCTGAAGCTGCATATTTGTCTGGGTGAGTTCTTCTGCTTTCTTTTCCAGTGACATCACCCAGACCTTCCTCTTCTGTCTGCAGCGTGTGGCAGCCGCTCGATTCCTTTCCAGAAATTTCCGCCGCCTCTCATCTGGGTCTTCATCCACCACCCTCCTCCGGCGACCCCCAGTGGGCTGAGGCGGCTGTATTGTCTGAGTGGGCTGCATCTGCTGTGCCGCTGGTGAAACCTAACGGGAAAACAACAAAAACAAATTCAACATAGATGGTGAGTGGATGGGCTCTAGTCGATGCTGCGAATTCCAAAAAGGAAGAAAAAGTGATGTCAACTGACATTTAACAAAAATACGACCAGGGTGTATTCTGAGATGGCAGACTTTCTGGCAAGATATGAGAGTGGCACAAGTAGAAAGACTCCGTCAGATGCCACTTAAATTATTCTTTGACAAAAAGCCAACACGGTTAAGGGGAGATTTTTGGAATGGCCTCCTGAATAGCAGCCAGGGAAATTATTTTTCCCCCTTTGGTTATTAAAATGTTTTATTTAAGTTGTGACAAAGAAAGCATCTGATTGATGAATGAAATGTTAGGCTTCTCACAGTGATTTTTAATTAATCAAAGCAAAAGACTGGAGGCCTTGGGATTTTTTTCATCCCATTCAGAGTTTTAGGACATCTCTGTTTCACATGTTCCTTAATGTATGTTCAAGTATCGCACACATCTTTGGAGAGGCCAGCAGTAGTGCTATTAAAACCTTAGGCTGGGATTATCTAAGGCATCTAAGGATTTTAGGTGACTGGCTCCTATTAAAAGTGAAGAGGAGTCAATTGCCTAACTCCTCTACTTATCTTTGAAAATCCCAGCCTTAATCATGCTACAGCGTCAATGTGGAATATAGGACTCAGTGGAAGCCTGAACTGTCAAATCAGAATTAATCCTGGTATTCTGGCTAATGGCCAAAACCTGCAACTGGTCTCTGGTGACTTTAGGGGTTGGGAGTGCTCAGCAAGTTGTAGGATTGAGCCCTAAATTTCAACTCAGGTAATTACAATCTGTCTGCCGCCCAGGCGTCAATTAAAAGCATGCCATCCCCTTGCAAAATCACTTTTCTGTCTGAAAGTTTTATTCTAAAGGTCACTGTCACTGACAGAAGTCAGCGAGCATTATTATTCTGTTTTCCAGTTTGTTTATTTTATGCATTGACAGCACTTTGTGTACAGGCAGTTTTACTTTGTCGCTATATAGCTGGTTGGTTTCTCTCTTGTTGAAAAAAACCTATAAAAAGAAACATGAGCAGAAAAACCCCAATGAAAAAAAACTCATTTAAAGAAGGATTTTTTTAAAAAAATGCCAGGACCTACTATTTACGGGATGTTTATTACAAACTGATTTTTTTTAAAATTAGTCAGTTCTTATAAATGCTGGTAAAAAGCCATAAACCATGTCCACACTGCAGTTTCCAATGTTGCTACCACTGGTGGAGCTGCACCAGTGGAGAATTACAGCTTGCTAGTGTAGATGCAGTCACTGTAGTTACTAGCATTGTGGTGGTGGAGTAATGTTTGGGACTTTCCTTAGCATGTAGTGCCCCCTAACTGGCTAAAGGAGGTTATTGTTGAGCAATGCCAGCTGCTCCCCATCCACTGGGGCTGAGCTTGCTACCTCTTTAGCAACACGTCTGAAATGTAGAGGTCTCAAAGATCGCTTTTAATGTCAACATAACATCAAAGGCCTTTCACTTTCTCACATACACCACCTTTTGAGACTTCAAAGATTGGTTATTTATGTTTCTGGACACCAAAAGCTTTCCTTTGCCTGTTACTCTCTCCGTTTCTATCCGGCATAAAAGGCTTTTCTGTCTCTCAGTTCTGTCAGTTGGGTCTGCTGTGCCAACATATAGCTATAGAACTTTTTTTTAATAGGGTGATTTTATTCTGAATAAATAGTGGATAGTTTAATTTTCAGTAAGAAGTGATCAGTAGTTGGCTAGCAAGAGCCAGTTAACAAAACATCTTCCTTCCATCTCTGGCAGGTATTAATTAGAAAGGCTGCAGCTGCATCACTAATGATGTCACGTGGGATAATTAATGGAACCTCCCAGATATATCACGACCCTGAAGTCTATTCGGCCTTATCTTGATAATTGTCTAAGCATTCTTCTCCAAGGAGGGCTCCCTCTCCACCCCGTGTGTTGCACGCTCCATTAAGAAAGAGGATGTATAACTATTATAATTAGGATTCATTCATTTTTAAGGGCTGCTTATCATGTATCCTAATCTACACAGAGGTAGAATGGCAAAAAGAACAAAGCAAAATGCAAACGATCCTGCTGTGCCTAAGTTGTCATGGTGGCAAGTTTGATCTAAAGAAATTTCAATGTGAAAAATATAACAATACCCACATCATTTTTGTAATACCTGAAGCAAAACAGCTCCCACAAAGCAAAACATCTATCACTCAGAAAGGGACACACTAAATGACTATTTCTACCTTGATCCTTGATCCAATACGTCCCTCTATTCTTTGCAACTTAACACAGGATTAGTACTCACTCATTCATTTTAGCAAAACATAATTCGTTAGGTTCATGTGTGTCTTAAAATGCCTGTGGAAAAGCATGCAATGAATTCTGACATTACACAAGGGCATGGTGTAGAACAATGGAAGTTATGACAAGGAAGCATGCAGCACACAGCAATTCAGATCATGCCTTTCTTTGACAGGAGGCGTGGAACTGAAGTATCAGGCTCAAGAGAAGAAGGAAGTTAATAATTAGTAAAATGCACCATAAAATTAATGTGTCTGCTGAAGCAATCTGACCCTCAAAGAGGCCAATACCGAGTGATTATGGATGGGTTTAGAAAGTAATAACCTTGTATTTATCACTTGCAAAACCCTTCTTTTATCCCTGTTAATGCCCCCTTTCAGAAAGCGTTATTGCTGTTGTGTATCAGGAGGAGACTATTGTGTTGTCAAGGGAAGCAGCTGATCTATAGATCCTACTTAGCCTCCAGTCAGTGGTTCTCAACCTTTTCATGACAATTATGTCTGTTTACAAGATCAAGACCTTCTCTGTATCAGCTGGTGCCCACAGTCTCCAGTTCCACTGTGGGTGCTCCAAACTTCATGTTCCTGTTTGAAATGAGCTCCCCCAAGGCTTGAAGTGTTCACAGTGGAATCAGATCCAGCCAGTAGGGTACTAGGCCCCACAACAGTTCATCATTAAAGTAAAGAGCGGGAAGCTCCAAATCCTGAGGCATGTAACATTGGTAGGGTGCAAATACACTAGCTCATTAGGCTGATCGGTCTATTATCTTTAAATTTTGTACATTTATTTTTCACTTGTAGACAATTCATTAACACACTGGTAGCTCAAATCAAGGCCCTATCCTGCTCCTGTTTAAAGTCAATGGAAGTTCTGCTATTTATTTATAGGCTTTTCTATGGTGCTCAACTCAAGTATCTCAGCACCTCAGGGCAAATCTCACAGGGATGGAACCTCCTTTCAAATGGAGTGCCATGCAGACCAATCTCTAGCTATGTCCTTCAGGCAGCCTGGCTGGATGTTCAGTCTGTGTCTGTCTTTGGCAATTATGTCTGAAGCTTTTAGCACCTCTCACACACTAACTAATGTATCCTCACAGCACCACTGTGCTCTGTGAGGCAGGTAAGTATTATTACCCTCATTTGAAGATAGGAAACTGAGGCGCAGAGAGATTGGGTGACTTGCTCAAGCTCACAGAGTGTCAAAGACAGAGCGGGGAACCCAGGCCTTCTGAGTCCCAGTCTAGTGCTCTGAGCCCCAAGATTATCTGTACTCTGTTACTGACTTCAAGGACAGACAGATCACACCTCTTTTGCTTTCTATGTTATGAGATTATATAGGGACTTTTACTGCAGTTGTTAAAGAGCTCTGAAAAAAATAATTAATAGATGGAAAAACAACAGAATTCATAACATTTTACGTTGTAAGGAATACTGTAGGGAAATCCCACTGATTTGCAGCAATAGCAATAACAAAGTAAAACAAGATGTCAGTAAATGGTTAATGTGGTTGGACAGTGGGATGTCAAATCCTCTTATTTTTAATGTCTTGTAAGTTTTTCTAAGAGCCGCCCATGAGGTATCTGTAAGCAATTAAGTGCTTCACAGATTTAATTCCTCCTGGGTAATAAGAAGTCCTCTTTGTTCTGTATCCATGACTCCACTCCCATCCTTCTTAACTCAGATGGTAACTTTGCTCTCCAGGCCTGATATCCGGAAGTCATGGCTGACCAAGGACCTTCTCTTTCTTCTCATATCTCCCTGGCTTGTCTGTCTTTCACCACCTTAAAATATGGCCAGAAGTCCTCTTAACATCAGCTCTGCCTATGCCGAAATTCTTATTTGTGAGTTCATTACTTCCTCTTTCAACTAATAGTTTTTCTTAATCCCTACCCTTTAAATGTCAGGGGGTTCAGAATGCTGTAGCAAGACAACACTTTCACTCCAAGAAACAAGACCTTCATCTTCCATCACCTTTGCTGGCTTCCCATCATCTGAATCCAATTCAAAATTACCTTTCTGGGTTAAATCTTTCTCCAGCGACTGACTTCATCCTCTCTCTCTCTCTCTGACATAATATTCACCTACTAATCCTCACCTGTTCTCCAGGCTAATCTTGGCCTTTCCTCTGTCTCCATTCTGTAATTCTCTACAGTTGTAATTACAGTTGTAATTTTCTTTCACCTGATCTACAGTATCTGGAACTACTACTCTCTCACTACAAGACAATGAATAATTTCAAGTCTTTAATTCTTGCCTTAAAATTAGAGGCAGCCCTGACTGCAAACTTGGGGTCTGGATTTGGATCCGAATGTGACCAAAATGCAAAAGCATTCAGACTGTAGTTTTTGGTTTGGTTCCCATGATTGAAATAAGGGCCAGCAGCAAAATTTGGATCCAGAACCAAAGTATAGGTATACTTAGATCTGCGGATTTTGTTTGAAGCCATCTATACTTACACCCTTATTTTTTAAGATAGCCTTATGATTGACATTCACTATAAAGTGTCTTGGGATACTTCATATGGAAGTTGCTATACTATACACAAATAAAATATATACAGGGTCAAACTCATCCTTCAAATACGCATGTGCAATGCCATTTACTTCATTGGGGCTCGTGGGACCATCTCTGAGGGCAGAGTGTATTGAACAGTTTAAAAATATGAGCTGCCAAGTAGTCATCCAAGCTCCTTAGACTATATCGACACTGTGTTTTACAACCTGTGCAATGAGTCTCAGAGCCTGGGTCTATGGATCGGGATGCTAAAACCAGCTGTATAGATGTTTGCGCTCAGGCTCTGAAACGAGTCCCCTTCCCCAGGCTTCAGAACCTGAGCCTGAACGTCTACACAGCTGTTTTTAGTGCCATAGTGCCAGCCCAAGTCTGTGGACCAGTCTCTGAGACTTGCTGCTGCATGTTTCAAAATTCAGTGTAGACGTATCCTTAGTGCGCCAAGCTACACAATGTGCCAAACTCCATAACATACCCCATAAATGTACACTTGGCACTTTGCAGAGATCGTGGCCTGAACAAGCTTTGGGGCTTTTTTGTAGAAAGTTAGACATTTGAAATACATTCTTTTCTTTGTTTCTAAGTAAGTTTTGATCTGGGATTTTTGAGTTAGAGCTTGTTGTAAGGTTAACCTGGCAGCCAACAACAGAGAAAATCTATTAGCAGCCAGTGGACTTGCTTTTGAAAAGCCATGCACATGTAATCTGTTTTTTTAAACTTGCATCAGAACAGAAGAAGATGATAGCTCATTAAGTGGTTCTACCTGTGCTTGTCCACCTGAGTGCAGTGGCGGGTGTGGAGAGGTCTGGTGATGTGCCGGGTGTGTGTGAAGGTGCGAGTGGGAGTGATGGTGTGGATGGTTCTGCTGGTGATGGGGTTGAGGATGGGGATGGTGTGCTGGATGCTGGTGCTGATGCGGGTATGGGTGATGAGGTGGCAGTGTCTGGTGCTGATGTGGATGTGAGTGCATATGATGATGTGGTGTCTGGTCCTGTCGGGAGCTCATCATTTCCATCATATGGCCCATGGTGTTCATATTTCCATTTGACATGGCTGCAGGATGATGAGTCAATGCTGCCTTCAACCTCTGAAACAGAAGAAAAAGGGTGGGGAGGGGGAGAGAATTTGAAATCAATAATACATTTATTAGAGGTTCATTTTTCCAGATTTGTAGAAACTCTTAACACCTGAAAGTGTCTGGTTCTGTAATTTTTGTGATTTTCTTCTAGATTTTGCTTCTTGACTTAAGTATAGTGCTTTTCATATACCTTCAATTTCTGTTAGATTATAATCTATTTTTTTGATCATTATCAGTCAAAACCTATAGAACACTAAATATCTGGATCATAATTTAACAGCTACAGATTTTCATATGATTGTGCTAGTATGCTGTTGAGGAAAAAAGTATTATTTTATTCTTAGTCAGCTCATTAAGTTTAAAGTCTCATGCAATCTTAGTTTTTTAAAAAAAGAATACCTGCTAAAATGATGCCTTGAACAAAGATCCACACTAAATTACCATCCAGTAATACAGACATTTTTTTATTGCCTCAAAGAAATAGAATATTGACCCTTTTTTTAAATTTCAGAGCCCAAGAACACAAGTCACTTTACAATATTTTGTAAACCTCATAAGACCAAACCTTTGTCCTCCCACCAAACTAAAAAACTATTAGTTAAGTGTGGTCTTGCCATTAAGGTCCTTTGTGTCTGAGCTCGAAAGCTCAAATGCTAGCTGTGGTTCATTGTTGCATGCTAATTCCTGCCTCGGTGATGTCCTCATGTCTTTTACTGATGCTGGAGTTGATTTTTGCAGTTCTAACTCCGGCAAAACTACAGTTAGTGTCAATAGGATTCTTCTAATTCTCCCACCTTAGGGTATCCCGCAATAGCCAAAGGAAGTTTAATCTGAGTAAGTATTGCAGGATAAGGTTCTTTTGTTCATTGTAATGATAACTAAGGGTGGAAGAATTTCCCCCCTCAATTATTGGATGTACCAACATATTAGCCATATTGTCACACCAACATAGTCTTCACATTGGATTACCTAAGACCAGCTTCCTATTTGAGCTCAGCAAAGTCAGTGCCAAAGTTAGTTGTTTTCCAAATCAAAATGCAGCCCCCCCCCCCCCCCCCCCGCAAAAAAACAACAACTCCGGTTAGCCAGCACTTTTATAAATCATGAATACCTAAGAAATATGCCCACTCTGTATTTGTCAAAACACTCTGAAGCTCAACTACAGTGTGACTTGTTCTAAATGGCATAATTTGACTTCAAGCAGAATACAATATTTTCTTTTCTTTCCCTGGTCCCTTCTACCACATCCATTTATCTGCGATAGCAAATCAAGAGAGACACATGCAGCTGGTTTCAGTCAATAGGGGTAATTTCCATTTGGTCTGTGTATTTTACAAGCTCCTTGTTCACCTTTCCCTATGGGAAGGTGGGCCAGCTGCCTTGGATCTGAATCCTGGTAAGAAACCAGTTATATCCCCCATCCTGTCCCAGTGCAGTGTTTCTTTAACTTCACACTTCACACACACCCCCACATACCCCAAGGCAATTTATTTTTCATTAATGAGAAGAAGCCCTTGTCTTCGGCAAGATCAACTGTTTTGTGTTGTAGGGCGCTGGAAAAATCCCCAGGAATTTAGTAAACTCTTTGCATTGTGTATGTGTTGGGGTGGGAGGGGAGACTTCAGTTTTGTTGTTCGTTTGGGTCTGGTAATTCCAAACTGCTGTTTTATTGTAGTGTAGAATACAATGTGATGGCACCATATTTACATATGTTCTAGTGCATTTCAAGGCAAAGGGACTCAAACAAAGATACGATCAAGTACCCAATCGTGCTCCCATTCACATCAGCAGAAGTTATGCCACTGACTTTAAAGGGAGCTCCTGGTGCTCAACAATTCTGAAAATTGGACTAAGAAAAAAGACAAGTGAGTACTTGGAACTCTGCCATTTTCCCCTGAGAGTAGGTGGCATCCACATTTCTGAAGATCCTCACACTGTTTCCTTACCTTATATTCCACCTCTAGATGCCTCACCTCAGAGTAACCAGCCACCTAGCCCAAAAGGACTGCAGAACATTTCTTTAATACCCCCTCATTGCAGATCATTAGTTAACCAGAGGGACTGCTACTGAGCATCACTGAGCAAACCCTGCCCCGGGCAGAAATGGGTAGCAAGAGACTAAGATGAGGAATTGGCAATGAAATTAGGTTTCCTGCATGCCACTGCAATTTGTTTGACATCTTTACTGCTTTTTTGCCATTTTTTCTCCTGTGTCTCAACATCAATAACTTGATGGTCGAAAAAAATGCCATTTTTTTTCCCAACAGGAATTTCCCCCCAACATCTCCAGTGGAAAACAATTGGTGTTTTTCAGTGTTTTTAGAAGAAACCAAAAGTGAAAAAACAGATTTTTTTTTCTGATCACTAAGTTTTTAAAAACTGAAAATAATTTGGCATTAGACATTTTCTGTTAAAAAAAAAAAACAACCCTGAACCATGGATGGAAAAAAACAATCAGTGAAAATATTTGTTTCCTTCTCAAAGCTATTTTTGTTGAACAGAAATTTAAGTAAATTATTTTGATCATCTCTAAGCTTCAGTCACTGAAGTCCTATTCATCTTTTGTTTTTTCTCTAACTCTCATCACAGTAGTACTCCAGGTTAGGACAGCGAGGAAGCAAAGGATATGAATATTGATGTTTTTCTAATTCTAATTCAGTTTGTGCTACTGCACTCATATAAATATATCAAGCGGTCTGTCCCTTTTCCCTGCGTGGTGCACATGCCTAAATCCCATTAACATCAGTGAAGAAACATGACCAACTGTAGTATCAGCTTAATGTCTGCAATGTCCTTTATCAGAGACTGTAACATGCCCTTGCAAGCAGATGGAGTGTGATCTGAAAGGTATTTCCTAGCTCTAACTACTATGTCCTAGTCTCTAAAGTATGATATTGTATTATAAACTCCATAGAAAAAACAGGAAAAATCCATATGTTGGCCTTCCTTATACCTATATCTATAGTAATGTAGCAATAATCTACAAGGTGAAAGCCTGACTCCTTTGAAGTCAATTGCAAAATTCCCATTGACTTTAATGGTGCAAGAATTTTACCCATAATGTTTCTTGATAATGACAACATCTCCATATACCAATAACCACCTAAGCAATCACTGTACGATCATGCACAAGACTACCATAGCTAATAGTATTGCAATGGGGAAGATGAGAGCAGAATTTGGCCTACGGTACTTTAGAGTGTCACAATGGATTTTCCTCCTTGCCTCATTCAATGATTGTGACGGGGGAACACGAGAATAAATTTTACTCAATTCTTGGCTGTTTATAAATATTTCATACCGTAAATAGCAGAAACCACTTTTTGCAAATCTTCATGCCATTTAAGTTCATAAAAGCAAATTGGAGGGGATTCATCTCTATCCAAACAATGAACACATTTCAGAGACTGATTAAACTTAGATGTCACATTGAGAGCTTGATCCTGCATTCCTGTGCACTTAAAACTCCTACTAACTTCAGGAGAAGTTTGAGGAATACAAGGTATGCAGGATCCAGCCATAAATCACACTGTCCTAAAGTTAAGAGAAAGGGGACACAAGTTGCTAATCTTCTAATTGGGTGACCTTAAGCAAGGTCTCTGTGCCTTTGTTTCTCCATCTGTGAAATGGTAATAATGATATTGACCTCCTTTGTAAAGCACTTTGAGATATATAGGTTTCAGAATAGCAGCCGTGTTAGTCTGTATCCGCAAAAAGAACAGGACTACTTGTGGCACCTTAGAGACTAACAAATTTATTTGAGCATAAGCTTTCGTGGGCTACGGCCTACTTCATCGGATGCATAGAATGAAACATATAGTGAGGAGATATATATACACATAGAGAGAGCATGAAAAGGTGGGAGTTGTCCCACCAACTCTAAGAGGCTAATTTAATCTTTTCATGCTCTCTGTATGTGTGTATATATATCTCCTCACTATATGTTCCATTCTATGCATCCGATGATGTAGGCTGTAGCCCACAAAAGCTTATGCTCAAATAAATTTGTTAGTCTCTAATGTGCCACAAGTACTCCTGTTCTTTTTGAGATATATATGGATGCAAGGCAATATGTAAGAGTGAGGTATTATTATGACTCACTCTCAGGCTGTTTGGCACATCTGAATTATACTCTCCCATTCCTCTGAGCTCTTTTACATAGTCTATTAGAGGATTGGGCCAAAAGAAATCTGATGAGGTTCAACAAGGACAAGTTCAGAGTCCTGCACTTAGGACGGAAGAATCTCATGCACTGCTACAGACTAGGGGCTGAGTGGCTAGGCAGCAGTTCTGCAGAAAAGGATCTAGGGGTTACAGTGGACGAGAAGCTGGATATGAGTCAACAGTGTGCCCTTGTTGCCAAGAAGGCTAACGGCATTTTGGGATGTATAAGTAGGAGAATTGCCAGCAGATCGAGGGACATGATCATTCCCCTCTATTCGGCATTGGTGAGGCCTCATCTGGAGTACTGTGTCCAGTTTTGGGCGCCACACTACAAGAAGGATGTGGAAAAATTGGAAAGAGTCCAGAAGAGGGCAACAAAAATGATTAGGGGGCTGGAGCACATGACTTATGAGGAGAGGTTGAGGGAAATGGGGTTATTTAGTCTGCAGAAGAGAAGAATGAGGGGGGATTTGATAGCTGCTTTCAACTCCCTGAAAGGGGGTTCCAAGGAGGATGGATCTAGACTGTGGTACCAGATGACAGAACAAGGAGTAATGGTCTCAAGTTGCAGCGGGGGAGGTTTAGGTTTGATATTAGGAAAAACTTTTTCACTAGGAGGGTGGTGAAGCACTGGAATGGATTACCTAGGGAGGTGGTGGAATCTCCTTCCTTAGAGATTTTTAAGGTCAGGCTTGAGAAAGGGATGATTTAGTTGGGGATTAGTCCTGCTTTGGACTAGATGACCTCCTGAGGTCCCTTCCAACCCTGATATTCTATGATTCTATAAGATTTTGTAACAGCACTATAAATGGACTGCCATCAAGTCTACAGCATATCTCAGCTTC